TGTCCCAGCATCTACAGTCGCGGTTGAGCAAGCATTCAGTGAGGGCGGCTACATGCTAGATCCACGACGGTCGAGGATGACGCCTGATAATCTTCAAGCACAAATGTTACTGAGTGATTGGAAGAAGGCCGAACGAAGGATGCAAACTGCTATGCTCACTTCGAATGAGGAGGAGGACGACAACGACGAAGCATCCGATTTTACGTCGTCGACAAGTGGAACCGGGGGGGGACGTCGAAGACGAATACGAATATTAAAGGTATGCAGCCAAGGTATGTGTTTTAGAAGAACTACGTGGACTTTGATTCCCAAATAAAGGGATACGTAGGCACCTTATTTAACATTATTAAGTTCGAGTATAATTTTTTGGTAACAAAATTTTTCATCGCACACGATATTCGAACTTAATAACTGTTAACTAAGCTCAAGTCCATTTCATTAATAATTTTTTTCTTTACACTTAAGTTGTACTTCTCCGCCATACTCAATAAAATACAATACCGTTAACCGTTTGACGTACAATTTAACAGACTCAAAAACTTATATTTTCGAAGTATATACAAACTATTTATTCAAATAAACATTAATATACATTAAAATAACAAAAAAAAGAAAAAAAAAAATTAAAAACCCGCAAACCCGCCGGGCCCGACCCGGAACCGAGTCGACCCGCCGGGTTTGCGACCCGGCGGTTAAGGGCCGGGTTTGCGAACCGGCCCTTGGTTACAGGCGGGCCGGGCCCGGTTCAACACATGGTGAACCGGCGACGGTTTCAACCCGGCCCGGCAAATGGCCACGTCTAATGATCCTCCTTTTCTATTTTTATTTATTTTGTTCTATTGTTTTTTAAAAAAAGCACGGACACGGACCCGGCACGAGTATAGGTCCGTGCCGGTTCAGGGTCAGTGTTTTCGAGCCCGGCAACCCGGCGGGTCAGGCAGGGTCGTGACCCAACCCGGGTTTTGGCCATGTCTAGGTAGATTACATGGCAAAATATCATTACTATTATTAAGATTTACACACACACACACATACACACTCAACAGACTGCCGCGCGCCACAATATCAGACCACAGCGCCATCTGACAGTCGTCGCCTTTTGGGGAAGATCAGCCTGTTATCCCTAAAGTAACTTTTATCCGTTGAGTGACGACACTTCCATCGACACCTAATTCTCAATGTAATATTTCCATTATGACTTCACTTTGCTTCTAAAGATGTAATTGACCTTTGGTCGACTCACTTTACTCTTCTTTCCTTGACGTCGAGCTGCTTCGTACCTTTCCTTTTACCCTAAGGTCGAGCATACTGAAACCTGTGCTAAGCAAGAATTCTTCCTTATGCCTACAAAGAAACACCTCAGTCGCCGCCATCAGCACGTCGAGCTCTGGTCACAGCCCGTCGAACACATATATAACAAAAACTCAAGAACTCATTTTCAAACTCGACCATCGATCGATCTCACCGGTACCGCCACACACAGCCACCAGTCCACTGCCGCACACACAACACACACTCACACACAGTTACTGAGTGAAGCAGACGGTGTGTCCACACGCGGCCATCGACAAACCATGACTGGGCGCAAACGGTGAAGTAGGACACTGATGACGGCGAGGCTTCCAGCCGGACCGTGTCCACGTGCAGCGATGGAAGTTGCAGCCGGTGATGCAGTTTGAAGATGGTCGTTGGTCAGAGAGTTACAATTTCTGGTGTTACTGACTTGTTTTTATTTGGGGGGTTTACTTTGGAAAATCTGATATGATAAAGGGATCTACTTGCAATTTTTTAACTTTTAATATGTTTCAATTTAGTGCATGAAGAAAATTGGTGATTTAATAAAAGTCCTAGGGATTTTAGTTACAATTTCCGAAATTTCATTTTATTACAACTTAGTTTATGAGTATAATTTATAATTTAACAACAAAAAAATTAATAAATGCACAATAATGTTTAGTACAATGCATAATATAGTATGTGTAAATGCACATTAAAAGTTTAAATGAATTACAGAATGCAGAATATTGTCATCGATCAGTTCGGTCTAACAGACCGAGCGAGATGTCAACACTGAAACAAGCGATTCAAACTTTTGAAAAAAACTTAATGATCGAATTTTTTAAATGTGTATTACATGGATTGAAAAATATATTACCGAATAACAATATATTAAACGTGTATTCAATTGCGTTGATATTTTAAAAAATTGGTCTATTAAACGTGTATTCTGTTGCCGTTGATTTTAAAAATTTGACCTATTAAACGTGTATTCGGTTGCCGTTGATATTTTAAAAAATTCTGTCAATATACACAATCTAGCATCGATATTTTGATATGTTTAATTAATAATTTATATATTATTTTTTTTACAGAAATAACCGAGTTTTTAAAAGTAAAAACAGATAATCGGAATGAAATATAAAAATTCACCATAGGTGGTAGGTGTTCCTCTTGGTCAGCCGTAATTGGTGACTCGGGTGGTGATTTCTCAATATTAAGCTCCACGTAGAGATTTTTATTGAATCTCGCAGAAAAAAATAAAATAAAAAAAACATGTCAATTATTTTTTAAAAAAAATCTTAATTATAACTTAATCATATTTGAATATCGATGTTTGGAAATCGACATTTATGAAGTAAGCCTTTCACAAAATTTGGAGAGAATTATTCATTTAGAGATGGTATATTTTAAAATAAAAATAAATTGATAGATATTTTTACCATAATATTGGATTAAGAATGGATATACTGATTATTTCATTAATAAAATAATTATTATAACTTAATAAGATTAAATTTGTTCACATTTTGGAAACAAACTTTATATGTACTATATGTGTATCTCATAATATCAGAATAGATTAATTTATTTAATTGGACATAATATATTTCCAAAACTCCTTTTATTTAATTTAACAAGTAACTATCTTTAATTTGATTATTGTTCATGGGTATGTCATATCACTTGCGGCTTTTTTGGCGTATAAACTATTAGCATATAAATCTTTTAAATTATATTATATTTTGAATTAATGATATTTTGAAGATATTTATCACTCTTTTTTATGAAATAAAAAGATTTTAACCATATATACATTATTAATTGACGAAATATCTTTTGAAATTAAGAGATGTTTTTTATTCTCTTTTATCCATGATATGTACCATCTAACAAGTAACTATGAGATTTTGTTTTTTAANCTCTGAAATCTTTATCTGTACAGAACTCACCCTTTAAAATCGAATCGAACCGAATTTTGGTTCGGTTCGAAACAGAGATTTATTGGAACCAATTAGGTTTCAGAGATCCAATTTTTTGGATCTCTGAAGTTTGGTTTGGTTCCGGAGATTTCAGGATCTCTAGACCGAACCGACTCGTGCTCAGTCCTACTTCAACTCATTCAGATAAAATTCATGATGTCTTCCCTACTTGCCTTTCATATGACTAGAATATTCTTGGCCATTTGGATGCTGGATCGACGATGGCGTCATATTTATTTTAGGGGTCTTTATTTTGAGTCGAATAAATTCATATATCAACAATGAAGACGACGTTTAAGTACTGCGTTTGCATTTAAGTTTGATTATTGCTAGAAAATTAACATTGAGAATTTCCTATCGAATCTATAATAATAAACTATTGAGATTATAAATGTGTAGTATACATTTAGTACAAATTAAAATCAACATAACTAGATGATATCATGATAGTATATGGAAAAAGTACTGTTTGGAATATAAATGTTTAAATAGATAGTTCCCCATTGCTAAATGCTATGAATAAACCATACAAGTGCTGTTATAAACTTGGGTCTTGTGTTTCTTATCATATTTATTGCTGAGAACCACTAAACATTGGGCTTCATGGTGAAATTTTGAAACAATAAGCCCCCAAACAACATGAAAGCTTGATGTGAAGCCCACCCTAACCACCAAAGGCAGACCCTCACCAGATTGTAGCAGGTCTTGCATGTTTCTACCTGCTCCGTACAATGGCTTATTCCTTGTCCCAACATTTAATCTGAACAATGTTATATCATTACTTCCTGCATACAATTCTTTGCTCTGCATCTTGACAGAAACTAATATTACAATAAAGAAAATAAATGCAAAAGAAAAAAAAAAAAAAAAAAAGNAAAAAAAAAAAAAAAAAATTGTCACAACTACAAATTTTATATATGGCCAATTTACTTGTTGAAAAATTTAAATCAACATACAAATTAAATTAGAGATGTTGGCAAAGAAAATGGAAATATGTTATTTTGACCTGTGACATTGCAAAAGGTAGATGGCCAAATGATATTTCCATAAGTGGAGGATGGATGTGAAGGGCAAAGAGCTTGGAATTGTTATCAACAATTAGGTCTATTGAGCAATTGCAGCTTAGTAATTTGGTGGTGACGCCTGACCCATCCACTCCCTCACCTAATCTGAATTGCCGGAAGCCAACTATCTGCCAAATTTAATCAATTAAATCAAATCAAATCATATGAATAATTAAATCAGATTGTGTATGCTTAATCAATGATCTTTTATTAACGTGTGAGTCTTAAGAATAGTTAGAAGATTGAGATATATTGAACTAATAACTAACCACAATGTATATATTTTTGGTTTAATTGTTTATCGACTTAAATTAAGTTTATATATTGACTTATAAATTTGAATTATTGACCTTACAAATGGACAACATGTACAAATTAAGAAAACTCATTTAATTAGCTGACAGATTGAGCATAATGGGTGAAAGGCGAGTTCTATATGTAATTTTATATATATTAAAGCACTTACGAGAGAGATGGCAAAAAGCACAAATCATTGGGGATTTGGAAAATAACTACTTGGTTTCGGATTTTATACAGTTTGAACCATAATTGTACAAATACACAATCGTACAAACATTTCCATTCTATTATAAGGCTCCTAAGTGCGCGCGCGCACACATATATATATATATATCAAAAAAATTAAATTTCGACTCGGAATATATCTCAACTTTAAGTCAAAAATGTCACTAGAACACTGAATATTCTTATCTAAAATTATTAACCCGCTCCTTGTTGAAAATTATTGACATATAGTTAAAACATTGAAATAGTCGATCACTATAAGAAAATAATGATAAAATTTTAACAGAAATATATTTCAATCGTAAGGCCAAGTGACAAAACAATAATTCTATGGGCAATTCCATCGGGCCTGAAAAAAGGGAGCCCGCCCCGCATGCTGTGGCCCGTTTTAGCGGTTCTACTAGTCCTATATATTGATATCAAGGCCCGTCTTAAACATATGGGGGGCTAGGTTACAAAACAGTAATTAAAACAGAATCTATAATAATATTCTTTGGGCTGAAATTGTGGGTTTCCTTTATCTTACATCTAAATATCAACACTCCTTAACAATATCCTGCATCTCTAACCCATTAAACCGAATTAATTTGCCGTTTGTGTGCAAATCAGTGTAGCCATCTAAAAATTCATTACATAATTACCTCATCATACGGTAAAATTGCACAAAATTTATGCCTTGTGATACTTTTGGACACCGTCCTTGTTTGTTTTGATAAATTAGAACAATAACTTGAAAAATCACGCATTAATTAATAACCAATCGACGTATAATTTACAAAATTTTTTGGGTTTTCACGCATTTAACAGTAACTTGCAATTTACCGTTAAATTGTACGCTGATTATGCATTAAATGCATGATTTTTCAAGTTATTGTCCTAGCTTTATAGAGAAAGATGAAAAATTTCCAATTCACTAATAAAGTTATTATTATACCTGAAGAGAAATATTAGGAGGTGGTGGGTTGGCAGCAATGTAGAAAACAATGAGAGCAATGGCCAAACTCAGCAAAAACCTCCACCCCAACTGCAGCAGGACCCAACAACCCGAATCAAAATAACCAAACGTAAAATACCGAAACCACCATCCCCCGCCTGAATCAGACCACGATTTGGAGCTGTACACGTCAGCATGGGAGGCGGTGGACGGGCTCTTGACAAAGTATAGGGCGTAGGGGTAGTTCGGGAATAAGGCCTCCTCCTCATCCTCGGACGACGAGCTACCCATTGTTGTTGTGCCACTTGAGATAGTGTGTAGTGTGTGTGTTTTGAGGGGTTTTAATTATATATATGCAGTTAGCACAGTTTGCTTTGGAATAATCAACACATTCTCATAAATTCTCAAAAATTTTCAAAAAATTTAGGTATATATATATATTTATTTTCTTAACACAACATCTTATTGAGAATGGTTGGGTATGAGNGAAAAAAGTTGTATATATGATTAGTTGTTAGTGAGATTTTTTGAATTTTTATTAAACTAATATTTAAATGAAATAATTAAAATTGATTTGATGTAAAAGAAGGAGATATGTAATTTTATGAAGTGATAGTTAAAATTATGTAAGTGGGTGATTAATGAATTTAAATTAATGTGATGTGTAAATCAATGTTTTAAATACCGTACCGTACCGGCTGGTATTACCGGTAATACCAGATACCGGTGGTCCAACCGGTACGGTTACACTCTAGATACCGTTTTGGCCAAAATACTGGTTTTATACTGGAAAATACCGGTTTTACCGGCAAATACCGGTCAAAATACCAGTTTATGCCAATATTTTTTTAAAAAAATATATATATATTTTTTAATATATTTTCATTAATTTATCTATATAAATTGAAAGTTCTACACATAATTTTAATATGTTTACATTGTTACTAGATGTTAATTAATTTTAGTATTAATTAAAGTTAGTTTTGTATATCATTTATATTATAATAATAAATTAATTTAATATTTATGAAACCGATAAAATAGACGATAATACTGGTTGAACCGCGTACCGTTGGCTCGTCCGGTATTCTTACCCGTACGGTATTTAAAACAATTGCCAGAAGTTGAAGCAAAATTGAGTTAAATAAAAATAATTTAGTTAAAAATGTTTCAATATTGTTTGAATATTTTAAGCAATCAGTTCAATGTTTGGCGGTAGGATTAAAGCGATGTAGGACTCATGATTAGAACGATCCCCAGTAGAGCCATCAACTAAAGTTAGTCCGAAAAATACGGATTATAGATCTTATTAAATCAATATAGGTTAAGGCCTTATATTTTTCTTACTTCGCTTTACACCAAATTGTCGCTGCTTTTCATGACGGGAATTATAGCAAAGCGAGCACGCTTTCATCCACTATTTCATTTTACTAGTACAGAGTCCGTGCGATGCACGGGTTGCACAATTTTAAGGCTATTTATCCAAGTTTATAATTATATACATGAATAAAGAAAAATATACGGGATATATATAGTACGTGACCCGTGCGAAGCACGAGATATATTTATTTGAAGAATATTATATTATAAGATACAATATTCAATAAAAGTTTATAATAGGCAAGAAAATTGTACAATGTTCAATAAAAGTTTTATAATATTCAAGTGGAGTCTTAAAGTCTCTTGTACATTAAGACTACTGACAAAATTATATTTTAATCAATGAGTTTTCTTTCCTTATAGCCAAATTAGTGTGTACCCCGTGCGATGCACGGAAACAATATTAAATTAACAATATTATAAATAGATATCGAGTTTGAGTCACTCAATGGCGGAAGTGGAAACTACTATTGATCCTATTTAAAAAGAGGAAGAAAAAAAATAATTATAAATTAAAGAGGATGATAAACAATACTTAATAATTATTAATAATTATAAATTAAAGATTCGTAGCCAAACAATGTAAAATTATTTTGTATAAGGGAATATAAAAAAATTTGATTATACACCATTTCAAAATTATTATTATACTTTTTTGTATGGTTAACTTATAATATTTGTAAAAATATTAGTAGTAGTAATTATGAATTGGTTTCTATTTTATTTTATTTTTTCTTTTTAAAAATAATAGATTTCTAGTAGTAATTATGAATTGGTTTCTATTTTATTTTATTTTTTCAAATCTGCATAGATAAGGGATGAGATTTTTAAAACACGTGAGACGCATGCAATGGGATTTTGTAACAGAAGAGATAAGCTATAGGATTTTGTAACTCGTGTAGATTTATACTAAAAATAGGAAAAAGAAAAACAAATATTTATTGTCAAACAACGATTTTGATAAATTAAAAAACGGGAAAAAGAGAAACAAATCTTTACACAATTAATGAGCCGATTTTTTGCCTATTCAGATTTGTCCAACAATTACTATATATAAAATATATTTAATGATTTTGGCGGGAAAATGTTTCTAAATGTGTTAAAAGGTTATTCTTTTTATATAATGATAGATTATATTTCTTAATTGCCAATATATTTTTTACCTCAATTAGCTTCTGCCCTCAAGATTATAGACACTAATCACTTCAACAATACTGTATGTAAGAATTTGATTTTATCATTAATGGAAATCTACAGTTATTCCTAACTTATCTATCTATCTATCTATCTATATCTATATCTATCTATCTATATATATATATATATTATATTATTATAAAAGGACGAGTGATTTTGTAAAAATAATGATATACCTAAAAAATCCTTACTTTTGACATATTTTTAATGACAAATTAGTAATACTGTAATGTTCATCTTATTTTATATTTTTAATTAACAAATAAACTACCTAAAAAACTCTTACTTTGACTTATTTTTAATGGTAAATTAGTAATACACTAATACTCATCATATTTTATATTTTTAATCAATAATTAATATTTAGTTAAATAAATATAGATACACGAACAAAACATTCTAGATCTCCTAAAAATCAACCTCAACATTCTCATACCATTATTCCTAACGAATTTATTTCTTTCACATATCTGTCAAAATGCTTCTTTCAGATCTCCAAAAACTCAACCCATACAACAAAGCTTTGAAAGATATATAATTGAAATTTTGAAAAACAATTTATTTTTAATATAATTTTAATGTAAAATTGTAATTACTTTAATTAATAACAAAAACTACTACATGAAATTAAGTTTTAAAAAAATTGCTATATTGCAATAAAAAATACAATGGTCAGACATTCCACTGAAAATCGTAACAAATATTCATTGGTATAGTAATCTAACAAACTAAAAAAGTGGATCAATTCATTTAGCTACTTCGTTATTAAGAAAAATACACTCTTACATTTAGAAATTACACCTTTTATTTATTGAATTGAATTTTTATCCCACAAAAAACGTTATTTATTTGTTTGTTTGATTATTTTTTCTAATTTTTGTCACAAAAGCAATAAAGTTAACGAATTTTCACCTGATCATTAGGTGAAGACCATATGAAGGAACAATATAAAGTATAAAAATATTAAATTTGCCAAATATTATAAAAATATAATGAAGTTGTCATACTTGCTAATAAATATGAAAAGAAGTAATAAATAAAAATATTATAATTAATAAAAATAAACATAAAACTTTTAAAATAGTACTTACCGGTGCAAACGAACTGAATTGTTCAATGCTTGTTAATTTTTTGTGCTTTAGTTCTATGTGTAAGTTTTAGGTGATAGATAGTAGTTATTTGTATTTTTATCCATGTAGGTTAGAATTTTTATTTTTTTAAATTGTACTTATCGGTGCAAACGAACTGAATTGTTCAATGCTTGTTAATTTTTTGTGTTTTAGTTCTATGTGTAAGTTTTGGGTGATAGACAATAGTTATTTGTACTTTTATCCATGTAGGTTAGAACTTTTATTTTTTAGAAAAAAAATGATTATTTTAATTTTTAATAACCTTTTATTTTCTATTACTTTTTTGAATATAATATGTAAATATCATATTACATATATCAAATAATAATTATTTTTATTATTTAATATTAAGAAATTTAACTCAATTGAAAAATTAATAGGTAATTTTGAGATAAAATAATGAGTGATTTTAAGAAAATATATGGACTAAAAAGTTCATGTGTTAAATATATTTTTAATAGAAAAATTGTAAGTATTCCATTGAAAATTGCAATGAATATGTCATTGGTGTAGTGTTCATTGGAAAATTTCATTGTCTATTTCAATATAGATCAAATTAAATTACATTGAAATTTTTGTTGATTTAATGATTATAATTACCATTATTTATTATTGTATGCATTTCAGTTAGAATTTGTTTTCAGACCATATTTCAACTGTTGGAAAAATTATCAATGAAATTTTAAAAAATTCAATATAAGATTATGGAAAGCTAATTGCAGTGGAGGATACAAAATAATTTCATATTGGGGGCACTATTTAGTTAATAGAAAAGTATACCATCAAAATAACATAATGAACTACAATCTATAAATTATACTTTTCATAGTTTGTCATCTTTCTCATCTGTAATACATTTTTAACACATATAAGTTAGAAAATATGAAAAAAAAGCATGATTTTTATTAATTCAATATAATAAAATCATTGAAAACAATATACTTTTTAGAATTTTTTTTGAAAAAAAACTTTATGTGGAAAAATATAAAGTAAAAAAATATTAAATTCCATAAATAATATTAAAAGTGTTATAACTGATTAAAATAAATATAAAGCTATTAAAACTTGTATTTATCAATATAAAGGAGTTGAGTTGTAAACATTTGTTAATGTTTTGTGATTATTAATTCTATGTGTAAGATTTAGGTGACAGACAATAGTAATTTGTACTTTTATCCATTTAGGTTAGAACTTTTAAAATAAAAAATAAAAAATAAAAAAAAACTTGATAGTTCTAATTTTAAATAACTTTTTGATTTGCTATTAGTTTTTTAAATATAATAAACAAATATCATATTACATTTATATAATAGTAAATATTTTCATTATATAACATTTAATATGTAAGAAATATAACTCAATTAATAAATTAATAGGTAATCTTCATATAAAATAATGAGTGGTTTCTAAAAAAAATTACATGGACTAAAAAGCCATGTGTTTAATGTATTTTTAGTAAAAAATTGTAAAGAGTATTAATTAATAACAAAAGATACTATATAAAAATTTAATGTTTAAGAATGAATACAATAAAAGAAAAAAATCAACCGTAAAGTATTCCACTGAAAATTTCAACGGATATTTCATTGGTATAACTTTATTTGAAAATTTTCATTGGCTATTCCAACAGAGATAACATTAAATTACATTAGAATTTAACTGATTTAATTATTCCAATTACTATTATTTATTGGTGAATGATTTTTCATTGGAATC